TCATTTTAAAGCTTATTTTCTTATCTACATTTAGATACAAGTGTAAACCACATCAGACTTTGCATTCAAAAGATATAACACATAATGTGGGCACAAAATAAATCAATTCCGAAATAGTTTTTTACCTTTGGGCTTGTGCTGTACAAATAAATCAGCTCTCCTCCCAGCTGGCAATACATCATTCTCTCTGGAACAGTCCAAAGGAAAATTATATCCACTTGTATTTCCCAAAGTAAAATCCATTCTGCAGAAATAATCCAAAAATGTGCATTTATCTTTAGCAAAAAAAACGAAAAAAAAGAGCACAGATGTTACTCTTTCACTTTTAACTGACTTTTAGCTTTGTTTTTCACCCAAACATCTGGTATCCACGTGTTCCTTAGCTCCTTATCTTTCAAATGAGACTACTCCCGAAAAGCTAGACCAATTTTTGGGTCTGCAAGAGCTCCCGTGAGTACAGCTTGCGCTGCTGTTTGCGCATGGATCACTGATCTTTTGTGGGGTCCCAACTTGTTTGCTTTTACTTCCGGGATTTACGATTGACATGTCCTTGTAGCCAATGAGGAACGCTTTCGAACAAGGGGTGGGACAATGGTGTCCTGTCTTATGTTGTGCCTGGACAATTGTGCGTAATGGAAGCCAAAAGACGCTCTCGAAGCTGCAATGAATTTACACTCATAAAAAAATAACTTTGACATTTAAAAAAGAAAAACACACATAGATTAGTAACTTATAAGTACCAATAATAAAAAAATATCGTTTTTATGATGATTAAATGTAAGTAAAGATATTTGGCACAATTTGGCAAACTTGTGCCAAATTGTGCCAAATGTGCACTACTTGATGAAAAGGAGAAACTGCATAAAAACTATAAAACTTAGAAGTCTGAAACTTTAGACAGTTGTTGTCAAAAACACAATGAACAGAGGGTTTGAATATTGTGAACTTACAATGAAGTATGCCTTTTTTAGGGCCTTTAGAAATTGAAAATGTTAGGCGAGGCTAAAAAAAAATTTTTTCCCTAACTTCAAAGGATGCAGAGGAAAATAGGAATGACAAACATTATTTTAGTGTTTTTTTTACATAAACTAGAAGGATCTAGCTTTAAAATGATGCATCACACAAGCATGTGAGACGTAAGATGTGTTTTTAAATAAGCAAAGACATTTGGGTATGCCCAACTTTTGTGCACGAGCCAAAATGAGGCGGGTTTTAAGAGGTTAAAGGAGCAGTATGTAAAAAATCTGGCCAAAAGTGGTACTGCAGCCTCTTCTCTCCCTGACTCAGGTTGCCAGATATGGAGATCAATCCAGCTGTGACCATAATAGCTGAAAAGACGAGAGTTTACCACAAGATAGAAATCCTGGTTTTATTCCTTGTTAACTATTCATTAATAATTTGAGAATCACAACGAGACCTTTTTTTTATTTCTGCGGCCACATGTTACTTTAACCAGTGAGATTAGCTCAACACGGTGAGTTCTGGCGCCCGAATCACTGACTTTTTGATTGGTAAAACGGTGGAAAATGAAAAAGACAATAACAAGGGACATAGAAAACAAACAATAACAAGATGTAGGGGCAATAAAACTAATTTTGAAATTCAACTATCTCTGAACTACTGTTGTCACTTAAAGAATTATTCGAACAGAGCATGTTTTATTAATGCATTTTAACTAGGGCCATTTATTGATGACTTGACATGAAAATCATACATATTGCTACTTTAAATAGGACTTGAAATATAGATTTGCATTTGTTGACCTATAAAATGTATCTCCCCATTTAAACACAATATGCTCAAATCAATGTCATAATTTCTTCTTGTACTTGAGTTTGCTTTGTGCGCAGGTAGAAAAACATCCCACGTCCTCCTTACATTTCCCACCTTGTCCACACACACACTCTGGTATTCCCCTCTCCTCTTCTCCTCTGATTTTAAATTCCAAAGTGTGGATCAAGTGTCGGCTCAGAATGTGGACGATGGCAGCGCTGGGCTTCTAAGTGTGACGGATTGTGGCAATAGCAGCCGAGTCAAAGAGCCGTTCTTACCCACTCCATAAGCACCTGTCAGGCCCGACACCCCCCTCCCACTCCCCCAAAGCCGAGCGGCGTTCAGTCTGATGCCACGTCCGCTTCCCCAGGCGCTTAATGGATGCCTGTTTTAAGCAAAATTGACCTTTTCTCTTATAACCCGGCTGTTTTTAGTTGCACTAGCATCAGGCACTAGCCCCTCCCCCTCACAGAACACTCTGAGGGAGAATTCTCTCTAGTGTTGACACTTAGAGTTTTCTTAGTGAAAATACAAAGTGATGATGCAAACATACTAAAGAATTCAAATAGACAACCCTGTGTGTGTGTGTGTGTGTCTGTGTGTAGTGTTTGTGTGTGTAGTGGTAGTTGTGTGTGTGTGTAGTGTTGTGTTTAGTGGTGTATAGTGGTAGTGTGTGTGTGTGTGTAGTGGTAGCTGTGTGGTATGTAGTGGTAGTGTTGTGTGTGTGTCATGGTGTATAGTGGTAGTGTTGTGTGGGTGTGTGTAGTGGTAGCTGTGTGGTATGTAGTGGTAGTGTTGTGTGTGTGTGTGTGTCATGGTGTGTAGTGTTGTGTGTGTGTCATGGTGTGTAGTGTTAGTGTTGTGTGTGCGGGTGTCATGTTGTGTAGTGTTAGTGTTGTGTGTGTGTAGTATTAGTGTTGTGTGTGCGGGTGTCATGTTGTGTAGTGTTAGTGTTGTGTGTATATTTTTGAAACTATAAAACATGCTTCATTTCATTACCACTGCAATTATATATAAATGCTCCTTTTGGACAATGTATTTAAAAACAAAAACCTGCTTTTTTATGGGGTCAATGTGGTTCTGGTCAAATTGATGCAATTCTCGATTCATCTGAGACTCAGAACTTTCCCTTTTTAATTGGCTTCTTTCTTGTTAAACTTAAAACTAATTTTATTCTGTGTTGATTTAATTTGTGTGATGTTTAATTCTATTGTAAGACGTCCTTGTTGGTCTTAGCATTAGGGATAATATCAATAACAATGAATTATTATTATTAATGTTATTTTAGTATAAACACTTGCGACAGTAGCTCAGTTGGTAGAGCATTGGCCTTCAGGCCTGAAGGTCGTGGGTTCAATTCCCACCTCTACACCTTCTCCACCGACTCCCACTGATGACTGCTGTCGTTGTGTCCTTGGGCAAGACACTTAACCCCACTTTGCCCAAAGCCCCCACTGAAAGATCAAGGCTATGCTCACACTCAGAGAGCAGCCGTCCTCCTGTGGACTCACCACCTGCAGAGGGTCAGTGAGGGGCTGGTGCTATGAGACTTGGGTGGCATCTCTGACTGCCACCCCCCTGACCCAGAAATGGATTAAAGGGTAGAAAATGGATGGATGGACTTGCTCACATTGGCACCTTGTTTGGATTCGAGCTTCAGTTCTTTTTAAATCTTTTATAGATTGTAAAAAGCTGCTGATTCTTCTGTTTTGCTCCTTCAGCTGTTGCTTTAAAACTTTTACACAACAACATGAAACCCTGTGGCTTATATTCAAGATTCAAAATGACATCTTCTGCAATAGATGGATAGATACTTTTTTATTCTCTGTGGGAGAAATTCAAAGTAGGCAAAATCACATCCATCACACAATTGATCATTCTAAAAAGCTAACAAAATATATAAAATAATAATAATAATAATAAAATGCAACAGCACTTTATGTCACGGCAGCAGAGGTGGAGCCGCTTGGTTCGGACCATTTTCTCTGCTCTGGTCCAAAGTAAAATGCTGAAGGCTTCATTAGCATTTCTCAAAACCTTAGCATTCCTCCAGTGAGTTTTTGCCTGATCTGCTTCGTTCGGACCATGAATCCTGAACACTGTACTGCAGCAACATCTCAGGCAGAAAAGCAAGAAAAAGAAAAATTGCAAAATGCAAAACAACTGTTTCAGAGCGGCTTAGGACTTGCAGCCGTTTCCAGCGCATTCAAGAGAAAACCCAAAAACCCAATGTAGCTGGTGCAGTTTCTTTGCAGTCCAGCAGGTACTGAGTGTAGACAGATCGGTCGGCTTCTCTCTCTGCAGTGGTTGATTCCAGAGACGTAGCTGCTTCTAAGCACTGGCTCATTTACATGGCGAGCGCGTGTGCGGCGTGTTTCCGTGGTTACACTCTTTGGGGAATCTGCCTCTAAAGCAGGCTCAACAGGACGAGAGCTCTGCCGGGCCGAGGAGAGGGCCCTGTCGCAATAGTGTGTGCACAGGGAGAGTATGCATATGTTATAAGATGGATGCAGTCTTCCTGAAAATGGGAGACAGACTTCAACTCGACAATTTTCAATTCCAGGTTTATAACCGATCTAATTAATTGTGCATTCAACTGAAGGATTGTATCTTTACTCTTTTTAATACAATGTGATTATTTATGATAACTATTTTTTATCTTTTATTCACTAAAACCGGTTATTATAACTTTAATTACAGCCAAAACAGTTCGTTGAAAAGCTAATGCTAAAGACCTGATTCTAAGTAAAAGGCTATGTCGCTAAATAAAAGTTATAAAAAAAAAAAAGGCTATGTCGCTATGGTAACTAGGACTTGCTCTTCTCTGGTGGAAAACCTGGACCAGTCCAGTACCAGAACCTGATAAATGTTATGGATTTTTTATTTGGGTTAAAGGATAGAAACTCCTCACATTAAAAAAAATATTTTCATAATAATAATTTAAAAGAGTAACCACACATAGATACAGAAAAATTCCCAAAGTTATGATTCTCAAAAAAGTACAAAAACTAAAAGCCGTCAAATGGACTGCTCTGGAAGGTCTTGTGTAAACATAACTCACCAAGCATCATGATACAAAATATTTAGAGTAATAGAAATAAAAGATGACTCCTGGTAGATTTTCTGCCATGTTCCATATTCTGAATGTCTTCGATACATGTACAGTACAGACAGTATTTTTATGGTTATTGCAAACAAACTGAATTGGTTCTGTCTGTGTCTTTCAGGAATGCTGGTGGTGAACGTCACGTGGAGGAACAAAACCTACGTGGGAACGTTGTTGGACTGCACCCGGCACGACTGGGCCCCCCCCAGGTGAGGCCCTGCTTTATGAGGAGTAGCCTCCCCGACAAGCTGGAGCCTAATTTCCGTATATATGGGCTAACGTGTTGCTAACATGTCGGAATAATGAGCAAAAACACCCGCGAATAAACCATGAGCCGTGAAGATGCTAACATTCTCTTACCTCGGCTTAAAGGTTTACAGGAGGATTTTCTACTTCCGGGTGGATCATCAAGACTATTAGTCCTTGCAATTGTCAATCATTCTGGTGATACGTGCTCAAAAGTGGAGAGGGTGGTTCTTTGCTATACTTTGGTAAGAAATCAGCCTATATTTAAAATTTCAAAATAAGAATTATCATCCGAAGCGGAAGAAAACGGATGAATGGATAGACTTAGGAGGGGTTAATTCCTTTTGCATTGTCCATCTTCATACAGTCTATGGGCGGAACAGACAAACACTCTCCGACCCTCCACTCCTGACATCCATAAGCATCAGCCCGTGTGCTCGATCAGATGATGAAATCCGTTGTACATCATTTTTCCGCGGTTGTGAAAGCCAACAAGCCCAGATTTTATTTAGTGCCTGTCGACTGTCACACATTGTAGTAAATGTCAAGCCTGAAATGGATGCATGAATCATTTATGTACGGTCGTGGGCCCGCGCCCTCGCCACATTCTGTGTGATAGCAATCTGCTGGAGAGGCAACAGCTCCAGGATATATTGCAGGGCTCTGGCTCTAACGGCCGCTTGCTGGGGAGCTGTGTTCTTTATCTGCAGCCCGCCGAGGATCCAATCATTGGCAAACAGCTGATGTCCCGGGAGGTGGCTGTGGAAATGGAAAGCTGCACTAACAAGCCAGATTGCAGAATCCAATTATTGGACTAATAGCTTTTTCTCAGTACTGCAGAACATTCCCCACAAATGCTGCCTTTTCTTAGATGAGTGGGCGTGTTGTGTAGTGTAGTGTAGTGTAGTGTTTGCCTTTGCCAAGAGGGATAGTACCATGTGTATGTAGTGTGTAGATGCACTGGTATGTTCAATTTGTACGCCTCTTTGAGATGAGGGTAGAATTAAAGCATGCCACAGGAGGAACTATAACAAACACTGCTGCTGTGTTTTTACGTTCAGTCACATCTCATCCTGAATGCAAATGCCTCGCAGCAAATAAACAAGATTACTGCTGAAATAATGCATGCTTCCTTTAGTTAAAGCTTTATGCAGATAATGTGGATCTGAGAGACATGTTGTTTCTAGTTAAAAAAAAAACCTGAAGTACCTCTCGGATGAGTGAGCGCACCTGTTTGCCGCACTAGCTGAATTAAAAAATAAAATAACCTTACAAAAATGATAAGATACAGGTAACCGAAATGCATTTTACAACAAGCCACTGAAGGATTTGAAGTTGTCCTGTAACCTTCACCTTAACATTATACACTTGTTTTACACTGGTGATAATAGTATCCAGCTGTGAACACATAATTACAGAAACAAATAAATACTAAATTATACTAGAATCTGTGATGAATGTACCGTAATTTCCAGACTTTTAAGCCACTACTTATTTAGTTCTTTGAATCCTGCCGCTTTTACAGAAATGCGGCTAATATGTGTATTTTTTTATTCTTTTCGTCTTTATGAACTTATTATTATTCCATCAAGTTTCATTAGCTATAAGACATTTGTATATTGTCAAAACAGGCTGATGACTGAGTTCCGCCATGGAGGCTAACAATTACGCTGTTAAATAACCTCAACATTAGATCATGTTGTTACCAGTTAAAACAGTCGTCTACCTGCTACAAAAAAACATGTATAAGTGCGGCTTATATATCGACATTTACTTTGTTTTAAAGGAGCTATACCCGTTTCTGCAATGTTTGATTGTTTAGCACCGCCCCTCAACTTCTCAGGCTTCTCATTTCCCCTACGCTCTCATCCCACGGAGCCATCTAGTTTTATTTGCGATCTGATACATATGCTAACATTAGCATTTGCGCCACTTGAGCCGTACAACAATCACTGATGAAATGGTACAAATGCAACGCACTGCTAACAAAATATATAACTGAAAGATTACGGCTGGTTTCGCGTCCGAATGTAGTCCGAGGCCATACGACGATACGATTTAAGCTTGCTATGTTCACCCGGGCTTGATTTCTTCTTTGATCATTTTTTCGCTTTAGTTTTCTCTTCCTCACTGTTGTGTTGTTTGGGCTGTTTTGCTGTGTACGCAGTTACAGCAAGAGTAGTTATAGCCAATGATGCTAACATGCTACTGTTTTTAGCAGCGCTGTAGAGGCCAGAGGACGCAGCCTCGTTCTGTGATTGGAGGAGAACCAGCGGCCCGCTAAAAGTCATCTCAGCACTTTGAATGGCCTAAACTCATGCTTATGCTGAATCAATGAGCTCCAGTTTTCAATTAAATTAGAGTTTGTATGTAGTTATACGTATTTTTATTAACTCAATAGAAAATAAATCAGGTATAGCTTCTTTAAAATGACGTTGGTGCGGCTTATATACAGGTGTGCTTTACAGTCCAGAAAGTACAGTTTATTTATTGGCAGTAAGAATAAGATGAAGAGATCCTTTATTCGTCCCACACTGGGGGATCTTCAGTGTTGCATCACAGTAACTCGGTTGGTAGAGCCCGAGGGTCATGGGTTCGAGCCCATCTCGGGACCTCCTCAAACTGCTCCCACTAATGTCTGCTGTCGTTGTGTCCTTGGGCAAGACACTTAACTCCAAGTTGCCTGAAGCTCCCGCTGAAACACAAAGACTGAGTCACTGTTAATGGAGCAGCCATCTTCCTGTGGACCCACCACCTGCTGAGGATCAGTGAGGGACTGGTGCTATGAGCATTGGGTGGGAGCTCTCATTGCCACCCCCCTGACCCAGAAATGGACTAAGAAAATGAAATGAAATCACAAGTTATAGAACAGGAGGAAAGAGGACCACATAGCACAAGATAAGTGAACCATAACTGATTAAAATAAAACCAAATCTCTATCTCTAGCATCAAGTATCAAATCTCGAGTATCTTGAGAATGATAATAAAGAACATTTAACATTTTATTTGGTATCAAAAACCGCAAACATATATTTATGAATTGAAATACAAATTTGCTTCTGAACTTAGCATTAGGGGTGGGACGATATATCGCGATACTTTCTCCCGCATAGGACAAAGTCGTCTCCTAACTCGGCGACACATGTATCCCATGTTAAAACCACAGAAATTCAAGCTGCACGCAGACACAAACCCATCATGTCGCAGTAACGTACTGAAAACCTGAAGTTAAGTTCCTAGTTTTCGGCGCCACTACATTAGAGCCGCACATGAATAATGCAGGAGGCTTTGGGCAGCGCCAGTGCAAACTCGGAGCGGTAATGAGTCTGAGTCCACCTGCCAGTATCCCGCACTCGGGCTGAAGATCCACGTCCCCACAGAGGCTTCCCGAGGCCAGCAGCCGAGTGCACACTCACACACACACACACAGAGCTTTTATCCGCGCCTCCAGATAATGGCTCTTCACCGTCCAAACTGTGGAAACGGTGTCGTGGAATGCTTTGCTCACGCTCTACATGTTGAGGTTGTTGCTTTTAGAGGTTGTTTTGTTTTGTTGGCGCATTATGGATGGACTCTGGAGTGTTATTTTCAAACCGTAAATGGAGAAATAAATAGTAAACAAGTTTGACTGTGTGAGTGCAGGGGCAGCTCTGAGGTCAGACTCAATTCAATATATTTTTGCACAGCCCTAAATAACTAAACTGTAGCTCGGAGGACTTGCTCGAGGTTTGGCCAAAATTGAGTCCGCACATGTTTCAAAATGTACAAAAAAATGTACAAAAGAAGAATATTTATTTTAAAGGCTGCTACTGCCAGGTGAGAGGCTCCATGGACTTCCTGACAGCACTTTTGAATATGGCCTGTCCCACCCATGTCCAGGTGCTACCAGTCCCAATCAGATCCCCCATTGGCTGGATCCTGAAAGAATCAAAGCGTTCAAAAACAAGATATACAGTGATAAACTACACATAGAGCCATTGGTCCACAAGGTGCAGAGACCAATGTCCATAAACCAGAGGAAAGACATTTGATGATGGGGGCTTGATTGCGTTTTGTTTGCCTTGATCAACCGGTTAACTACTGTTGGTATGGAATTTCCCCCTTATCTGATGTCCATGTCCCACCTCCTTGGGGGCTGGCTTGCTCCTGGCTGACCCCCCTGACCAATCCAGTGGAACCTGAGAGTGACCTCACAGCCAGTATATAGAGAGCTGGGATGGACTAGTTTGGGGTCTTGGTAGGGATCAACTCTCTGCAACATGCAGCAGGCCTAATACTGAGGTCCAGAGCCTCCAGGGTTCTCTCTCTCTCTCTCTAACCATCTCTCCTTGGAGTATGATATTTTCTGTTATGTCTGTATGTATCTTGTTATAATTCAGTGTCACTAAATGTCCTCTTTTAGATCTATTGGTTTTGGGCCTAGTCTGTACAGCAACGATTACTTTTTCATGATAACTACTTAAAACTCCCATAACTCCTTATTTCTTGTGTTATATTGAAGTTTAGTAATACAACATCGGGCCACCACAAAGCATTCACACGCACGCACACACACACACATCCGACTCATTTTAAACAATATGGGTGAAGTGTCTTGCCTCAGGACACAACAACAATTTGGCACTTTACAGCCGCAGCTGCCCCACTGTGACACCTCTCCCATCACAGTAATAACCAGACCCTGCCCTGCTCAGCTTCAGAGGTCTGACCGGATCAGGCTTTCAAATAAAATGATATCATAGGCTTATCCTGAATACGAATTATACTTTTCCCAATATATGTATTAAATCGGAAGTTGAATGAAAAACCTCATTGGAATACTTGATATGAATTGAAAGCTGCAGAGCTGAGGTGTAGAGAACTGGGCGGGATTGTTTTTTCCTGCTCTTGCTCACTTTCTGACCATTAGCACCCTCAATATAATATTATAATAGACTTTGAGTTTATTATGACTATATCCACACGAAGACAAAACGCTTATAATTTCAGAAACTTTTTCTGTAAACACGGAGTTAGCTCAGTAAATGTGTGCGTCCATATGAATGTAGTCAATATGCCTGAAAACGCTGTGAAACTATGCCAAACCTGTTGGTGGCGCTGTGACGCAATGACGGGATCAAGCCCAAACTTCTGTGACGGGAACTGGGCATGCGCGGAATGTTGTAAACAGACAACATGGCGAGTGGGCGAGCTGGTACTACATTAGTATGGACGGACGATGAGGTTGAACTGTTGCTTCGGGTCACACTGGATTACAAAACCAACAAGCTACATTGTTGTTGTCATTATTTTCTGAGTGCGGCGCATGCGTGCTTTAACAAGAGGCGGGGCGATGACGCAAGCGTCTCAGATACATTGCGGAGAGGCAGTAACCACGGAGCGGCATATACGGAGTTTTGAAATCTTTCCACTCTGGGACCTAGTTTCAAAAATGTTCGTTTACACCCCCCCAAAACGCCGGCCTCGTATGGACGATACACTGGATTGATAAAGTATTTTTGCGTTTAGGCCTGAGCTTGACTTCGTGTGGACAGGGTCTATATGTGTTTGCATTGTTCTGCAGAGTTTCATGTGTGTGTCAGTGTTAGCGGGTTGTTTGTTCTTTGAATGGAATTCAATCACATGACCGAAACATTGTCCACTCTCATTTCATAAAGTTTGTGTAAATTCGAAGAGCTTTAGAAAAGGTTTACTTTGAGGTTGCTTAACTTCTATGTCACATCTCAACATTTTGACAAATTATCCAAACGAGGAAACTGTTTTTGTATTCATGTCTTAATAAACTGATGCTGTAGCTCACCCTTGATTTTAGTAATCAAGTATTAAATTAATGAATATGTTTTATTAATCGCTCAATATTAAATACTTTTACATTATTTATGTGTAGTTCCAATACAGCGTCGTAATTAGTTCTGTGCGCTCTGGGACTGTCGTGAGCGAGCGGCACATGAAAATAGAACAAGAGACATTTAAATGTTTTTTAAATTTGTATAAAAAAAAAATAATAATAATTGTGAAATCTCAGTGGGTTTAATAAAGGTTGCCCTTTATTAAACCCACTGAGATTTCACAATATTATTTTTTTTCCAAGAAGCGAGCTGTTGTACATGTAAATGTTTTGCACTATTCAAACTATGTTTAAAAGAAAAATATTAAAAGTAAGTGAAAGGCACTTGGGGGAAAGAGGGAAAAAAACATATGTTTAAAAAAAAAACAACTTGTATTCACTTGAAACGTGTCCTTATTGTTTGCGTCCTCTTGTGTTTCAGGTTCTGCGAGTCTCCCACCAGTGACCTGGAAATGAGGAATGGGCGCGGCCGAGGCAAACGCATGAGGCCCAACCCCAACCCTCCCATCAACGACAACAGCAACTCCTCGGACAGCAAGGGCGCCGCCAATAACAACAAAACCCGCGGGGCGTCGAACAGCAAGGGTCGCCGCGGCAGCCAGACCCCATCGGACCGCCGCACCCCTCCCAACAGCAATGCCGAGGAGGTCAAGGCCAGCCCGTCCCCCGCCGGAAAGCGTAAGACCAAACCCACCTCAGATATGGAACCCAACTCCAGCTCGGAGGACTCCAAAGGCAACAAACGCATGCGCACCAATTCCAATAACGGGGTAGCGCTCGCAGTGCATTTGCCGATTATCAAAGCCGAGCCGCTACCTCCTCTTGTCGACCGGACTTGCCCTTCTCCGGTTCTCATCGACTGTCCTCATCCCAACTGCAATAAAAAGTACAAACACATCAACGGACTCAAGTATCACCAAGCCAGAGCGCACAACGATGACGACGTCAAGTCAGAATTGGACGGTGATAGCGAATATGGAGAAGATTCGACGCTGCATCCCGAACCAGGGAGTTGCAACGGTGCGTCTATATCCCAGAAAGGCTGTATGTCACCAGCACGATCGGTCACACCGAAGGGGCGAGGGTTCGAGGCTCAAAGCCCTTCGCCCGGCAAGTTCGGATCCAAGAAAAAGAAAGCTGCGGATGTCGAAACAGAAGCTATGGACGGTTGTGAAGACGGGGCGTGTCTAACGGACGAGGCGAGCAATGATGGGCTGGATGACAAACGAGGAGGGAAGAAACCTGGGGGGAAAGCTGATAAGTTGGCGCAAAAAAACATGAAATCGCCGCGCCCAATACCTCCCGGATCGCAACAGATGTATGCCTTTCCCCCCGGCAATCCTGCTCCGGCTTCCGTGGTTGCGCCCATTGTGCAAGGCATCCCCAAAAGCCCGCCAATGAAGGGAGCGCCGCCGAAACTGCCAGTTGTAGCCGACTCTCCTTCCAGCAACTCAAAGGACAAGAAAAAGAAGAAGAAAAAGGAGGGTTTGAAGGAGGCAGAGAGCCCTAAGCCGGCGGGAAAGGGAATCAAAACTGAAGACGGGAAGATTCCTTTTCCAGATCCCTGCGAACTAGGAGGAGCAAAAGGAGATGGGCTTCTTAACGGCTCATCGGACCCGCACCAGAGTCGGCTGGCGAGCATAAAAGCCGAAGCCGATAAGATTTACAGTTTCTCGGATAACGCACCCAGTCCGTCCATTGGCGTGGCGAGCAGGATTGACGGAGTGCCGCTAACGCCAGGCCAGAACGGGGCCGATAACGCCTCCGTGAAAACCAACAGCCCCGCTTACTCGGACATATCGGACGCTGGGGAAGACGCAGAAGGCAAGTTGGAAGGGGTTAAAAGTAAAACGGACGAGCAGGGCATTCGGGAAGGTGTCAAAAAGGCTTTGTTTCCCAGCCAACCGTCGAGTAAAGAGTCCCCTTACTACGCCGGATACGATGCCTATTACTCGCCTAATTACGTCAACCCGAGTCCTGGAGGGCCCATTCAAGGCTCGCCGGCAGCAGAGGGCCCGGTGAAGTTGAAAAGGGAAGACAACCAAGAGCAAGGTTAGTGTTGTCCCTCTTGATTCCAGCAATACCACAGATTCTGACCGGTAGTTTTTCCGATTTGGTTTTACGGTACTCCTTGGATTATTAAGCAGTATTACGGAACTTGTCTTGTGTATTTCCCTGGATGTCCTGGTGTCCTCTCTGCTGTTCACATAAACACACAAGGAAGCAGGAATGTATGCTCTGGAGATTGACAGCTGATAGAGTTTTATCCAAATCCCTTTCTCAAGGGGAACTCTATCAATCAAATATATACCTATATTTTGTTCCTTATTCTAAAGGCTGCAGAGATCAAAGAACTGGAACAAGTTCTGCGGCTTAGAGTCCAGCATGTTTTGCACTTTTTACACGTGCCATAAATATTTGACGCTAGTTATTTCAACCAAGGTGTCCTAATTATTTCTACCCTTCTGACACATTCCTCACATGCCAATGAGTATATATATATGATTTAAAACGTACGCACTTAAAGAAAACTATAAAAAAGATGGAAAAATAAATGGCAGTTTGAAAACGAGTTTGACAAAGCAGACGCATGTTTTGTTTTAGTACTCGTTCCGTAGGCCTCGTTCCGTAGAACTCGTTCCGCAGGACTCGTTCCTGCTCCATGCTTCAAACTTGAAATGGTAATGTATCTACAACAAGTGTAAAGGTTGTTGGACCTTTCCGTCCTTAAATTTCTGCCTTATTGATGCTCTGTATCTTAGTTTAGTTTAAAGAAAGTCTTACATGTCGGACAGATCCAGAGAATGGACTGATGCAGCACAGAGAAGCTCATCGTCCTTTGATATAAGAATTTTCAGATCATCCACCAACGATTCTTTACCCAAATATTCAAAACACAATTAGGAAGGTGAATGGCTACAGAAGAGACTCCTTACAGTATTTACCACAGAATTGGTTCCAACCCCTCTCGCTCTTACATCCCACATACTGCCACTCAGGCCAGATACTCTATGATAGGGGTGTGACAATATATCGATTTTTCGATATATCGCGATACTTTCTCCCGCGATTCGATTATCGATATGCATTTGCCAAGTATCGATATCGATTTAAAACAAAAACAATATTTTTTATTTTTTTTCACTACTTTTTTTTTTGGAATTGGTACTATCAATACTTAATATATTGCTACATTACGCATCTCCATTCTATTTATCATGAAATAAAGAGTAATTTTTCTTTTATTTATGCCATAAATTGGCATATTGTATATTTCTGACCAATATATCAATAATCGTCATATTGTGATAAAATCGTTATTGTGAGCTTTGTATCGTGTATCGTATTGTATCGTGAGGTACCCTTAGGTTCCCACCCCTACTCTATGACCCTACACCTCTCCTTCGTCACTCGCTCTGTGCTGAAGCTATCCCTCTCTTTCCTCCACATACTTTTTCATTTCATTTTTTTTGTTCCCAAGATCTTTGAATGGAATCATATATGAACATGTTTTGAGTTCATCTGGTAAGTTGTACTAAAGAGTAGGTCCTCACGCCGAGCCCCATTTTCACGGTAGTTCTGAATTAAGGCACTAATATTGTTTTGCTTCCTCTTAGTTTGTAAATATGGTGAGCATGTCTATCGTGGAATGAGTTTTGTATATTAGGTGCAGTGGGAAAGAACATTTGAGCAGTTTTACAATTAAAGTTCTTTTGATTCTATGTATTAATGGATGATGCGTATAGTGGACGTTACATACTATTCTATTTATTTTACAAAGTGAATTATTCAATGCGATTAATTTAGAATCGCTATTTCAGTTAGATCGACCAACTGTATAGTGTCACTAAATGTCCTCTTTTAAATCTACTTGTTTTTTTGCCTAATAAGCCACTACTAGATTCTTGTTATAATAGGTGTGCTTGGTTGGAATGAAAACCTGCAGCCACACTGACCTGGAACAACTCTTAAATATAGTCTTTCCAATGTATCTGCCCTGAGCACTCATTATGCTCAAACACATGGAACAATATTGGGTACAGGTCTTAAAGGATCAACTAGTATCTGATTGTCTACTTTTGCCAACCGCAGAACCGATCGAAGACAAAGTGAAGGTGGAGATTCTGGAAGACCGCAAACCTGACGTGATCGCCCCAGGTCAGCCGCCTCAGCCTCAGCCCCAGCCCCAACCTCAGCCCCAACCTCAGCCCCAGCCTCAGCCTCAGCCTCAGCAGCAGCAGCAGCAGCAGCAGCAGCCTTCGGTCATCCAGCAGAGGTCCAACATGTACATGCAGCCGCTGTACTACAACCAGTACGCCTACGTGCCGCCCTACGCCTACCACCCAGACCAGGCCTACCACAACCACCTGCTGAGCACCAACCCGGCCTACCGCCAGCAGTGCGAGGAGCGCCAGAGAATGATGGTGGAGCAGCATCGAGCCAACGAGAAGAAGGACAAGGACAGGGAGGTAAGACAGGCTTTTCACACATAATCTCACCTGGAGAACTTTCAAACCATTAAGTAACAATAATGGTCTTCAATTCAATATATTTTTGTACAGCCCTAAATCACAGCAATAGTTATCTGGAAGGACTTGACAAAACCGTTGATTCGCCAACACAGATCAGAGAATCAAACAATTCAAGTACAAGAAATTCATTGATAAAAACACAAGGAGCCATTGGTCCATTAGGAGCGAATGACTAATGTCCATAAATGTTGCAGAAAGTAGTTTCCTGGATCGTCGCCACTGTCCTTGGACCATCCCTCTTCTGTTGTTGCAGTAGTTACAACAACAGTAGTTATTAACTATAGATTGTATTAGTCATCTATTTTAACATTTTAATGAAAATTGTGAAAAAATAATTAATAGTAATAAATAATCCAGGGGGCATCGCTTGAGCCTGCAAAGACCCCAAAAATATGAGGCAATAAAAATCTGTACTTGATCTGAGCACTTTCTGACTGCCTTAAAACAAGATTTGCCGATGGGATAAAGCCATTTAGACTTATTTCAAGAACTGTTGCATTTTTTTCATTCCAAGTGATACATTGTATTTTTTGTTTCAAAGTGCAACAACACTTTAGGTCACAGCAGCAGAGGTGGAACTGCTTCCTCTGTTTGATGTTTGCAGAGTCTGCTTGGTTCAGACCATATTCTCTGCTCGGGTTCAGGGTGAAATTCTAAATGCTTTATCAGCATTTTTCAAAATTCCTCCCCTGGATTTTGCTCTTGATCTTGATCATCCTCTCTGCTCTGCTCTGGATCAGTGTAAAACCATGAACAATTTACTGCAGCAAAATGTACAGCTATAAAAAAGCAAAAAGAAGAAAGATAGTAAAGCGCAAACCGACAACTGTTTCAGAGCAACACTGGACTTGCTGCAGTTTCCAGCGCACTCAAACATACTTTACTTTGTATATAATGGTTGGAATTTGTATGTTTTCCAAGTGATGAGAGCTTTGTGACATTTCTCAGACTTTACAAATGTTCTCTAAGTTGGAATTTCAACATGCTCACATTGTTCAAAACTTTTAAACGTCTTTTTTGTTTTGTTCTGCTGTTTTTGTTGCAGTCGTACAGGGAGGCGTCGGTGAAGGAGGAGTGGAAGCAAAAGGTGAAGTCCGAGCAGGGGAAGAGCAAGTCCAGAGACTCTCCGTCAGAGGCCAAGGCCATGAGCGCTGGTTCCAAAGCAGACGACCCGAAGGCCCCACAGGCAGATTTGCTCAAGGTGAAGCTGGAGGGAGCCCACCACGGGAAGGACGAGCCCAGGGCGCAGGCGGGGGTGGAGCAGTGGTACAGACAGGTGACCGCTTCTCTCTACTTCATGTGGTCGGTCTGAGCGCTTTGGCTTTGGCAAGATTTTCAATTTATGCAAAAATGGTTGTAGATGGAAGTTTACAACCTCCTCACAAACCAAAGCTGCTACAACATTTTGAGAACCAATCAGACCACATGCTGGCATCATATGTTTAGAAAATTGTATCTTTTGCATACTTTTAAGAAAGAGCCATGTGAGTCACTCTTTGAAATGGAGGCAGGTCTCCACCCAATTGGCTGAAAAAGGCCAAAAATACATGAATGTGAAAACTAGTGATATAACCATACTGTTTTGTGAGGAAATAATGATATGGATTTCATTACATCAAAATGCTTATTTCAAAACCTGCACTAACACAATTTCACTGCACATAACAGGCAAAGATATACATACATGGTTTGAAAAGGGGTTGGATTCAATGTATTTAGTATGACGGAAGTCCTGCCTATCTGTTAAAAAAAAGTGTTTTTCCACAGGGTCTAGTGGTATTTTGGTCCCTCTTCTTTCACATCTTCTCAATGATCCACACGGGCATTTTTTTTCTTTGCTCGTCTTCCGCTTTTGCTGAAATAGCAGAACACCGGTGTTGGTTCTAAGAGGCAACATAAACAGAATCAGCAAAAGGAGCACAATGATTCACAGGGAGGTAGTGAGGAACACCAATTATTGTCGTACTCCTGACTTGGTACAAACATCTCCCTGAATCCCCGGGTGCAGACACGTTTAACCCTCCAAATCCCCCCTCACACATTCAACAAGACAAGACCATTTAGAGCAAGAAATAAAAAAAACTATACCGTAGAACTAGCCTGATCTTACCATATAATCGTACAAATTTCGTACTGGTCTGGATTTGCTCCATTGAGCTCTGTTAACAGGAGGGAGTGGTTAACTCCTTTTGCAGATTGAATCGATTGAAAGTTTATCATGATGTATGTAACTGGGTCGAGTGAGTGAGGCATTTAGCATTTAGCCTAGCTTTAACATTTAGCCTAGTTTTAGCCATCTCCTTTGGAAGGAGCCCATGGAGAGTAGAGCCACAACATCTTTGCAGCAATGACATTTGCTAAACATTCCTCTTGCTCCGGCTTAAATTTCTTGATATTTGGAGCTGAGAACGGATTCCTTTACTGTTAAATTTTCTGCCATTGTCAAACTACAACCAGCAAATCCACTAGCATCCACTAGGATCAGACACAGACGAACATCTAGGAAACAATCATTGACCGGATATAACAGTAAATATATATAAATGCATTTTCTAAACAAGACAACGGACAAGACATACAGTAGGTCCAAACTCTCTCTGACCCTACACCTCTCTCCCATTACACTGCGCTGAGGGCATCTTTTCTCCAAGTACTTCTTTGGAACTTCTTTATTAAACAGTTTTTTGAATTATTCCCTCTGTATAATGCTTTCGATATGTGACGAGATAAAACAAGGAAGGACCCAAGAGCAGAACGGCAAAATAATATATTTGAATAGATGCCACAAGGAGACGAAATCTCAAAGTAAAAACTGAAACCAGGGTTGAGTCATGGACCAACAAGAGAACAGGAGCACAGGGACTAAACACACAGAGGGAGACCGCAAGTAAACCTCGGGCAAAATAATAAATAAGAACCAGGTAAAAAATAAATCAATAAAAAGTCCAGACCATGACACATTGTTGCCCTTCCAATACGTCGAGGTGTATTTATTGTTGAATGTGAATAAAGCAAGAAATAAGTGAAATCAAGACGTGTTTCTGTGTGAAATCATGGAATGAATTAACAGAATATAATATCTTAAGTGTCAAACATTTAAAGAAATTGAAAAGTGACTTTGTTACTGTATGTCTGATAAATATGATTTGCAAAACAGAGTTGGTTAAAGTGATGGTGTAGAATAGAATAGGCTCAAAAAAGCACCGCTACTGCCTATTCCTTGTTAGTAGCAACTCATATCATATTCTATTGTCAGTCCATCACTGGCCTCCTGCTGGTGCCCAGAGTCGGGGCTAAACCCGAGGAGACGGCTAACATCTGAAACAAGGTTGAAAATAGGCTTCTTCTCTGACAACGTTCAAACCCAGGTTAAAACAGTTCTGTTTATCTGTGCTACAACTGAGGGAGTTGTAGCTTTTATTAATAGTGACTATTTATGATTTTCTCGTGTTCATCATTTCGAGTTGCCTTGTGTATGAACTGAGTTATACAAATGAACAAGTGATATTCATCTGAACACCTTCCTTCGTTGTTTCCGCAGCAGTTCAATGAGACCCAGAAGGCATCCCTGGAGGAGGAGCAGCAGCAGCAGCAGCAGCAGCCTCCGCGGTGGAAGGAGGAGCGCGACAGAGACCGGGACCGAGAGCGGGAACGCAAGCTGAAGGAGGAGCGCAGCCGGCCCAAAGACTGTCCCGGCGCCGCCAAAGACGAGCCCAAAGACGGCGAGCGAGAGGAGCCTCCACGCCCCGTCAAAGACTCCCGGCCGAGCCCACACATGCAGTACTCTCTGGCCCAGCACCAGGGATACATGCCCTACATGCACGGGTACCCCTACGGACAGGCCTTTGAGCCCAGCCACCCGGGCTACAGGGGCGTGCCCTCTGTCATGGTGCCCAACTACCCAGGTACATACATGCCAATGCACGCGCAGAGGAGAGCAGAGGGCGCCTACATGGCTCCGTACTATCAGAACATCTGAGCAGCCCAGCGATCCTCTGTCATATGTAGAGGTCCTGATCTTTCCCCCAAACATACAAATAATGCAATAAACACAAGAAAAACACGGCCTTGTTGTTTGCTGCCGATTAGGAACAACCTTAACACAGTATTCAGGCAGAAGGATGTTCAGCTTCAGTCCCCAAAGAGAAACCGTGCTGCACCACAAAAACATGCATCTATAAGATACATGAGAGGATAGCAGCAAAACCACTCAGTCTCCAGTTTAAGGTGGAATGACATTTGTTTGATCCAGATTGACACTGGAGGCAGAATCTCTTTACTTTTAGACAAACCCTCACCGCAGTCGGAGCTGTTAAACTGGCTCCAGAAAGGGCCGGTGTGGCTGCAGGTTTTCATTCCAAACGAGCGAGAGACTGGACTCACTTGTGAAAATTGGGTGGAGTCTGTGTGCTCCTGCTTGGTTGGAATGAAACCGGTTTGACACCTCTGCACTGAATAATATAAAGTGACTCCTCATTTGATTTTGAAATGACGAGTGACTAAATAATATGTTATCCACAGTGGTCCCTCACTATATCCTTTCCCTTTTTGCGGCCGTTTCTCTGTTTGGCAGATTTCTGTTTTGCTCCAACATCATCAGATATAACATCAAAGAACCGCTAGTTTATCATGACAGTTACCTTCAGTTAAAGTCAGAAGAAAACCCATGGCTTAAATGCACTGCAGGGATTATTTCAAAGGACTACCGCGGTCTTCAATTCAAGTTATTTTTGTACATTACAAAGTTGTTGATTGCTCCACCACAGATCAGAGAAATGAGCAGTTCAACCATAGGAAACACAATAATAACAAACACATAGGAGGCATTGGTCCAAGGTTAAATAAATCACAAACTTTAGACCCTCCTGCATCGACACGGAACGACTCGACGATTGAGGGCTAAGAGAAGACCTATAGTGTCCTCTGCAACTGTGTTTTACAGTGTATGCATGACTTTTGACAGCTGCAGCAGCGCTCAGACCTACAACTAACATGTTTGATGTCTCTGCGATCGCACTTAAGCAGTCGTAGATATCAAATGTGTTTGTTGTCGCTCTGTTCGCTGCTGAAGTGTCAAAGGCAGAGAAAGGTGAACTGTGCAATAGCGAGGGACCACTGTATCTAATTTATCTAAAACTAATTGATAAAAACAACTAGTTAACTGACTCGAGTACTTTCTGTAGGAGTACTATCCTTATGTCAGTTCTCCATTCATGTCACAACAAAGTGCTGACAGAGCAGTAGATCATGATCACAATGGATTATATTCTGCTGCTGAATCCTTTCACAGATTAGAAACCAGAAAGAGCAGGACACAGCTTTTAAACATGGCATTAGCGCAGGATACAGTTGAAACCGGAAGTTTACTTTCACTGTAATCAGGTGTAGCAGGAGGAACAGGTGCACTTTGTAAAATGGCATCATGAAGAAGGAAATATTGAAGCAACATCTCAAGACATCAGCAAGGACGCTTGGGTGGAAAAGGGTCTTCTAAATGGACTATGGCCCTCAGAATACGGCTAACATACATACATACAAAGTTTGCTGGAGGCTTCTTCCAATGGCGTGTGTCTTGTGCGATGGGGAAACCGGAGTACCAGAAAACAGTCTGGGATCAAACCGGCAACCTTCATGCTGTGAGGCTCGAGTGCTACTCACTCAGCCACCGTGCCGCCAGATCCTATCCCATAGTTATTAGTTTGTGGGCAGATCTCGAAGGGCATGTGAGAGCGAGGCAACCAACAAACATGACCCAGTTACGACAGTTCGGTCAGGAGGAATGGGCCAAAATTCCAACCAACTATGTGTGAGAATCGCGTGGAAGGAAGGCCAAAACATTTGACCCAAGTCAAACAGTTTGAAAGGCAATTCTACCAAACGTAAAGTAATGTATGTAAACTTCTGACTTTGTTGAAATTATTCTGAAAAAAATCCCATGTAATATTGTGGTGTAAAGCAGACTGAAATGTTAGCACTAAACTTTAACTGACTTTAAACAGTAAAACATTCGTTTGAATTTAAACTTACGACTGTTGTTATATAAGTGTATATACACTTCCGGTTTCAAAGGTGTGTTATACATTTATTATAATAGCGCAGGCATGTCAAACTCAGGCTCCTGGGACAGTTATAGTGGCCCCTAATATGAATTTCAATTATTATTATTAACTTTTAGCATTGAAAGTTATGGGTCTAATCTGTTTTCACAGGAAACATTAAAATGTAATGTATTCTAACATTTTAACCCAACACATCAGTAGAAGTGAAATGGTTAAATATAAATCAGTGTGTTTAACTTTTTTCCAGTTTTGGTTACATCTAAACAATACATTTTGTTTTCAGGAAAATATACCAGAAAATGTCAAAATACCTTCATAATGTAAAAAACAAGTATGAGAAAAGGAAATCTCTATTCTTTCGGCCCCCGACCAGTTGCTTTTTTTTTTTTTTTGTTCGGCCCTTGATCAAAATGAGTTTGACACCCCTGTATTAGCGTTTCCGATCTGTCTCCGCTCATGAATGTCCCAAACTGCACGACAGCCTGATCGCTAACACGCACCTCTCCTCCTCAGGGTCCTACCTTCCCGGAGCTTACCCCTTTTCCCCGTACGCTGGTAAAATAGTGAGCGGCGAGGAGGGCAGCGAGAAGTCTGGAGCCAGCCCCACGGTGACCAAAGCGGCGGACTCTAAAGCACTGGACATCCTGCACCAGCACGCCACCCAGTACAAGAGCAAGTCGCCCACAGTGGGGGACAAGGCGGGGCACGAGCGGGGGGACCGGGACACTGAGCGAGGGGACCGGGACATGGACAGGCCGCGCTCCTCCCCCTCGCAGCGCATGGTCCCCTCGCACCACCACCTGGGATACCCCCTGCTGTCGGCCCAGTACGACCTCTCCTACTCCACAGGTAAACGGCCGGGACTCCGGACTTCTTTGAACCACGACTTCCACTTCAGTACGATGTGTTTTGTATTGGAAAAGGGTGCATAGATGTTGTGTTACCGTACTTTGTGGACTATAAGATGCACCTGTAGATAAGCCACACCACCACTGTTTTTTTAAAGAACATCAATTTTGTCTACATATAAGCCGCACTTGAGTATTAGCCGCGGGTTTTAATGTTGTAATGTAGCAGATGGACGACCGTTTTAACTGGTATGATTTAATGACGGAGTGCTTAATCACATTAATGTTAGCTTCCACGCCTCTTTCACCTTCATCTATTTTGACAATAAACCAGTGTCCTATAGAAACTAAAGCTTGATGGAGTCAAGATAATAGGTCCATAAATTCTACCACAATAATAATGCACATATAAGCCACATTGCTATATAAGCTGCATCGCTATATAAGCCGCATCACTATATACGCCACATTGCAACATTAGCGGCATCGCTATATAAACAGCATCGCTATATAAACTGCACCACTATATAAGCCGCATCGCTACATTAGCCACATCGATATATAAACTGCACCTCTATATAAGCCGCATCGCAACATTAGCCGCATCGCAACATTAGCCGCATTGCAACATTAGCCGCATCGCTATATATAAACTACATCGCTATATAAGCCACATCGATATATAAGCCGCATCGCTTTATAAGCCGCAGGGTTCAAAGTAATCGAAATAAGTAGCGGCTTATAGACTGATACGGTACGTGGTGAATAGCTCGTTTGGATTTGCTACAGAAGATCTCTGCAAATAAGGTCATGCAGATAGTCTGAAAATGTTTTAATCTCAAAGAGCCACAAGATTAGCATTGAATGATGTGTTAACTTTCTGAACACATTCAGGCCAAACAACATCCACCACATCCGTCTTTTACCACGCCACTAGAAACAATTTCTCATTCTACCACACAAAATACCAAAGTTTTACCGCACTTTGAGGCTCATTTATGAAAGAACAGGAGGAAGAGTTTCTTTGATTTATCAAATTCAATGTCTTTCTTTTAACACTCTTAACTCTTAACCTCATTCTGGGAATTCTAGGACTCCCAGAACAGTCATTATGACAGCTTCCATTGATTTGAAGAATCATTGGAATTCTGAAAAAATACCAAAAACCATTGGACTTTCCTTTTGTAAAATTCTTACTGAAGTACTGTACTTAAAACTAGTTTTACCTTTTAACAAGTGCTAAAACCAGTTGGTATAACTTGAAATACAGAAAAACAGTTTATTGAAAGGCCAACCCTAACTGCTGTCAGGTAAACAGTGCGTTGCTATGGTAACTAGGACATGCTCTTCTCTGGTGTAACAACGAGCTCACTCAGAACCAAAACAAGTCCAGAACCAGCACTTTGGAGAAAAGCTTTAACTGCCTTTAAATGTTGGTGTCAATCTCCAAAAATGGCTACATTTGAAGTTTACATTCAATTAAATTGAGCAGTCAAAATAACTGCTCAGGGAGTTAAAGGAGATAAAAGATTATTTAAGATTATTATGTCATTAAGAATAATGACATAAACTGGCATAAACTAGAGTCACAGTTATGAAGACCATGTACAAACACTGAGTAATTCTGCTTCCAAACAAAAAGCTGTCAAAGTGACTGCTCTGGGAGGTCTGGTGTAAAAGCTTCTTCTGCCCATGTCCCTGGTTGGTGTGGCTACAGAAAAAATCAATCACAGTAGAAATAGTTCAACTTCAGTTAATCCAAACAAACTGGTTTCTCCACATCTCATCAGGAGTAAATGTAGCACATAGCACATGCTTCTTGTTCCATCTGATTAAATTGGAGTAGTTTAGTGATCCGAGTTTCACTGCTGCTTCGTAAACGCTGTCAGTGTGTGGCTGGTGCAGAGTGTTAGTGACTGAGAAACTGCAGTGTGAGATCAGAGTTTTCTGAGGACACGGCCTCACAGCAGAGCCCACAGAGCGGTCTGCAGTGACACCTGCTGGAGAGGCGTACTCACTGCACCTGAAAGCCACTTCATTTTCAATTGGAAGCATTCTATTTATTTTAGCCTGACCAAATCATCTATAATGTTTATAGCCTCAAGTCAGGCTTACATCTTTGTGAGTTGGATAGATTTATTTGCTTGAGTGACCTGGGTTTTCTAAATGCGTTCAAGACATTTGTTAAGTTTTCTCTTACTGCATTATAAACACTGGTGAAATGAGACATGTGTGAAATGAGAAATGATACACTTTAAGAATGTTTTAAGTAAATCCACACATCCCAACGGCTTGATCTAGCATGCTGGTTTCAAATAAGGAGACAATATCAAAAACATTATAAAATAGGACATTTATGAATTTGCCAAATTGCATCGGTTTTATACAGCGCTTTTCAGGACACTCAGACTCTTCACGTCTCATTATTCATTTGGCGGCACGGTGCTGGGTTCGAATACCGGTCAGAACAGGGCCTTTCTGAGTGGAGTTTGCAAGTTCTCCCCGTGTCTGCGTGAGTTGTCCCTTGGGTACTCCGGTTTACAAAATATGTACAATAGGTCTGGCATGCGCCTCCTGTACTGGCTCCGCTCCCATCTCTGTGTGGAGTCAGAGGACAAATGCCCAAAAAATAACAATTGTAAACCGCTTTGTGACTCTGGTGAAAGGCGGTATAAAAATAAAGATTACCTACTTACTTCAAACACAGTGGTGATAAACTACTATTGTAGCCATAGCTGCCCTGGGGCACACTGAGAAAAGTGAGGCAACCAGTATGTGCCATCAGCCCCTCACACCACCACCAACCATTCACACACGCACACACCAGACTCATTCTAATGTGGGTGAAGTAAGGACACAGCCACAGTTTGGCACTTCACAGCCGCAGCCGCCCCACTGTGGCACCTGGTGTTCCCAGAGGTCTCCCATCACAGCACTAACCACACATTGCCCTGCACAGGATTTGGCTTTCGCATGTGTTTTTTTTGATAATTACCTTTCTTGAGCTTGAACTGTTTGATTCTCTGATCTGTGTTGGCGAATCAGCGGTTCTGTAAAGGCCGCCGAGAAAATGACTGCTGTGATTGAGGGCGATACAAAAATACGTTAAATTGAACGAACACATGGAGAACTGTGAATGCTAACTCTTGTTTCTGTTGTGTGTTGTAGGGAAACCTGACCGCCACACCTCAACCCTGCAGAGATTCATGTGACTGGCTCACATGGCACACCTCCCGGAGATACCTTTTTTAGACATCAGTTGAATGGTGTATCTATCTCTATTTTTTAGCTTTTCTGCCCGGCGGCGCGGCAGACTGTCCTGTTATTTTTTTAGTTTCCCCCCCTCTCTCCCGTCTCGCGTCAAAGCTTGAACTGTTCTCAGACTGCCACTACCAGGTTCAAAGCCATGACTCTGTCCCGCTGAAAAACTCACTTCTAGTCTTTGCACTGTCAACAAATACAATGCAAAAAGTTCATCATTTTGTTCTCCATTTTGTTTTTCGTTTTTGTTTTTCTCGGTCCTAGAGATCTGTGAAGCGGTAGAAAGGTAGGTAGGTCTTTCTGGAGAGATTTGAACAATGGAATCGGTCCCAACGGCGAATGGAAGAAGCGAAGGGGCGAATTCGGCGACGGCTCCTTGAAATGTGAGCGGACGTTATTTGGCCAAATTTTTTTTCTTTTTTTTCGATGACACCGATTTCTTCCGTTCAGGGATGTCGCCTCAAACCAACACTAACTATCCACGTTCTGGCAGTTCCATGTCATCTCTGAATGTTTGCAGATATCGCATGTTGAAGCCATATGAGCAAGAGATGCGTTTTGTCGCTATATTTTTGGAGTTTTCGTTTGGTTTTCCTGTATGACTGTGTGCACTGAACAATGTGAAATTTTGCGATCTCTATTTTCCTGCTGTAAAATAAATGTTCAGCCTATGAAATGTGCATAAATGTGTATATGTATACCAGCAGGAACCTGTGTATAGACGTGGATGTAAACTGCAGCTTGTACATTGAAATGCTTGGGTTTCGGGAATCTGAAACACGTGTTCTTTTGCTTTGGAATGTTTCATTTTGGAAGATTCGCCATATTGGTTTGCTCATGTGGCTTCATCATTGACTCCGCCCCCGTTTTGACCAGAAATACTTGTACGACAAATCGCAAACACTGCAGAAATGCTAATATTCTTTATTTATGTGCTTTGTGACGGAATATTTCACTGCTTGGAGACATTTCCTGTAGGGACGGGCCATTCCCAGACGACACTGATGAAACAAGGCACAATTAAATCAATGTTGTGTGTTTATACATTCTGTACAAATACATAAACACTACACTATTCAATTTCAATCTGTTTTTGTACCGCCCAACACAACACCCGTCATCTCCGAGGGCTTTCCCCAACAGCAGATCAACAAAATCCTACAGTTAATTATTTTGAAATACAACAAGAAGAGTCTTTGGTCCAAAGGGTTGACCAAAGGGTTGACCAAAGGGTTGACCAAAGGGTTGACCAAAGGGTTGACCAAAGCGTTGACCAATGCCCACAAAGACCAGCCTCTGTCCACAGACGCTGCTTCAAAACCCAGGAGAACATGCAGAAGACCGACAGTGAGAGGGATTGTCAAAACTTATAAAATGTTTTGATTAAATGGACCCCAACAGGTCGTCTTCATCTTGAAGTCACAAATCAGACCAAACATGACAAAACGGTGGCTGCATTACATTGTGCCATGTGGAAGTTCAGGTCCATCTGGAAAACCCTTTTGTGAAAAGAAATGAGGATTTCCCAACATAGAAAATTAAATGAATAGTCAATTAACCGTAGTAAGAAACATACGGCCGAGATCGCAATGCACGTGTTCCACATGAGCTTCCTCCGCAGAGTGGCTGCTCCTTTAGAGATAGTGTGAGGAACTCAGTCACATGGGAGGAGCTTGGAGTAGAGCCGCTGCTCCTCCACGTTACTGTAAGAGGAACCAGTTGAGGTGGCTCAGGCCTCTCTTTGCTATACCTCCTGGACGACTCCCTGGGGAGGTGTTCCGGGCACGTTCCACCGGGAGAAGACCCAGGACCCGCTGCAGGGACTGTGTCTCTTTCTGGCCTGGGAACGCCTCGAGATTCCCCCAGATGAGCTGGAGGAAGTGTGTGTGGGGATAGGAAAGTCTGGGCGTCTCTGCTTTGACTGCTGCCTCCATAAGTGAAATCTAGATTCACAAGTTCAATAGAGCTGAAAGACTGAATATGAAAACCATCTCCAACAAACTCTTGGATCAGGTGAAGAAAGTCATAAAACTAATGATAACTGCGGAACCAGCCGCGTAACAAGAAAATCTCAAGTCTTGTAAAAATAGGTTTTTTTTATATTTCTTTGCGTGGGTGAGAAACTTCCCTCTGATCTTGGGTGAACTGTGCAGACTTACTCACTATTTGAAAGTCTGACGTTTGTTTTGACCTATTCTGACACTTTCCTGTATTCCCTGTGGTGAAAAGGCGACACAGGTCAAAACAACAAGCCGACCTTTCCCACGGCTCTCGTCAAATCAGAAATGTCTTCAAACCAATGACATATTCCAGGTCACACAAGCCAATACATCCACCCTGCTCACGGATCATACAGATGAGTTTTAGGCCTTTCTCAGCCTCAATAAAAAGATTAATTTTGAGGGTTTTTTTCTCCATTCTCTGGAGTTTTGGAAGTCCGTACGTGGTGTGGGTTCCAGGCAGCTGCGGCTTGCTCGTAGTGGTCACGAAGGTCAGACCGCGGATCCCTAACATACATATATATCCTTTTTATCCAGAGCATCGGTTGTGAAAAGTGCTTCTGTTCTATTGGAGAGTATAGTGTTATTAACTCGGTAGTAAAAGCAGAGTTCTTATATTCTAATAAAAGTGTATGAAAAGCCAGAGATGTTTGCTATCGTGTGGGCTGTTGGAAAGTGCTTCTTTGTTTCATGGGTATAGTATATATTTATTATTGGGTCTGGATGTGCTGCCGAGTGGAACGTGGTCATCTGTTCTACGCCATTTCACGTGACTCCGATTCAGGGCCTTCTCCGTGTCGATCGTTTACATCGAGCTTGTCTTTCAGTTTAGAGATGGAGCGATATTTCAAGAAAGGTATAAATGTGTGAAATATCTTCCGTCTGCCCCATGATTCTTCCCATCTGATATTCTCCCATGGCGTGTTATACTTCATTCTAACACACTCAGAGCAAAATTAATGTGTTCAGAATCCAACACTATTCATTTTATAAAAAGATTATCCCATCTTGGCTTCAATATATTTTAAAGTATTGTGTTCAAGTACATACACATAAATAACCACATGTAATTTGATCTTTGATAAGTAAAATACTGCATATCTTTGGGTTCGCGTTTCCCTTTCTTTAGAATATCATAAAGACACGTAATAACTTTATTATTATTGCTACCAACCCCCTGTTCATTTGCGTCCTTTCATGCTGTGGCTTTTAAAAATGTTGGGTCACATGTTAAGCCACAAAAAAAAAAACATCTGGTGGTTTCTATTTCTAATTTCCAACTTATCTCCTTAAAATGTTGCCACAGCAGGGGTCGGGAACAACAAAATAGCTGTAGATCCAGGACTGAGGCCGTAGACCCAGGACTGAGGCCGCAGACCCAGGACTGAGGCTGTAGAGGTCTGAATATTGATATTTCAAAAATATACTGTATCCCATTCGTTTTTCAGCCAGCCCTACTTTCATAAGTCGGCCTGGAATCCTGTAGGTCACAAAAGCACGTAGACCTAAATAGTCCATGTAGAAGAGTTCGCTGAATTGGAGTCACTTTCCGCCTCTTTGGGACTCCACTGTGGGGTCCACTGTGGGGTCCACCGTGGGGTCCACCGTGGGGTACACCGTGGGGTCCACCGTGGGGTCCACCGTGGGGTCCTGTCCCAGCTCCTGTTTACACATGCCCCTGTTTGATCCACGTCTGGAGTCTGTGCAAACTGTACATTATCACGGTTCTTTTTATACAATTCTCTGTAACTTGCCTTTGTAAATTTGGGCTGGAAAAATAAATCTTTTTATGACACGGCCTGGCCCCAAGTGCTTCTCTGTGATGTCTGCTGAGATTAGAGAGTGAGAGGAGAGGGCCTGAATCCATGTGATGATGGTCTGACTTGTATTTCTTAAATAACAGTTTGTCTAACTCAGAGGTTTGCAAAAGTACAATGTGTGAACAGATAAGACCTGGACACAGCACACACACAAGTATGAGACGATGTCAACTGTCAAGTTTATGTATAAAGAACGATTCATGCAGCGGAATTCAAAGTGCTTTAGAAAGGCATGACATAATAGACATTTAAAAACTTAAAGAAGCAGTATGTAAAACTCTGGCCAAAAGTAGTACTTCACACTCCCTGACTCAGGTTGCCAGATATGCAACACCTTCTTCACAAAGCTAGAAATCCTGGTTTTTCTTGTTCTGTCATGAATAATTTGAGTGTTCTGGCAACCTGGATCACGGACTTTCTGATTGGTAAAACGGCGGAGGGCAGGACATGGAAGTGAAAACAACAGCATTTAGGGGCTGTATGTTTCATTAAAGCCTTTTGACAGATCAGGGCGATTTGACATGAAAAGCTTACATACCGTTGCTTTAATAAAACGTATGTAAGGTAAAATAAAATAAAATAAAAACAACACATGTCATAGGCACAACTATGGAGGCCAGTCCCTGTGCTCCTCAGAGTTGGTTCATACGGCACTAACATGTCGAGGACAGAGTTACAGTCAGAGCTGCTTTAAAGTCCATTCTCTGAGCCACAGGAAGCCATCTTGTCTCAGATGGAGGACTCCGCTTCACTTCCTGTACAAACATACATCTCTTGTCACAAACTTACTGGACTGATGCAAGTATGAATGTTTATTATAGTTTAAGAAAAGTCATTGCTGCTAAAAATGGAACCCGTCTCATGCAGAGGGCCTGGTAACTTACTCCAAAAGTCTCTGTACTATGGCTCCAGCTACAGACACCGGACAGGACATGGGTCACGCTTGGACTGCTTACGCCCACAGAATCAAGGTTTGTGGTGAACCCGGTCTGAACTAGGACTGGACCAGTTCTGGACCAGCTCTGAACCAGGACTGGACCCGGTGTGAACTAGAGATGGCGCTGTGAGTGGAGTGAAGGAGTTGGAACTTCAGTAGAACTTTCTGAGACCTGGATCCTTACTATAAGCCCTGAAAGACTACTGTAGTATTAGTACCTCAGAATACTATTAATATATGTAACCCATGACTAACATTAGCGTGAAGATAAGGCAAAATTAAACGTATAGACCATGAAACTTCCTCTTTTCAAAATAAAAGTGCTAAACATAATTATTATATGACTTGGACCGTACGCGTGCTCTGATTGGTTGATTTGCAGTCTGATTTTTTCCCATCTCGGATTGTTACCATGACAATTGGACCAAACAGCGCGTATCACACAAAACCAAGTCGGATATGAACATACTTCACAAATATCTCAAAAGCATTGGTAAAGACACAGACGAGAGTCATATGATAAAACATTTATTAACCTCGCTGGCTCGGTCTGTACAGAGAAATATCAGACCTTGGCCTTTTTGCACATGTACATTAATGCAGCGGTCTGATATTTCTCCATACAGACCTCGCGCTCGGTTAATAAGCCGTTAATACAGCAAAAAGTAGAGAATATTACCCATTTTAGTTAGTAATCAAACGTCAATACCCTGCAGCTGTACATTCTTTGCATGTGAGACTATGTGATTATTAGATTCAAGATTCAAGAATATGTATTTATTTAGGATTCATTAAGGAGTCACATGAACGCACAGGATCCATAGCTAAGAATAATGAAAGAAAAGTTTACAGAGAAAAAAACAGAACAGTGTTAAAAGGCCACATAATAATCACATATACATTCACTTATAGTATTTACAGCAAGTTACACAAACAAAGACGCCAGTGACGACAAAGTCTACAAGTGAACCTGACTGAGCTGAGGTAAGGCCAAACCAGAGACTGTACATTAGCATTAGGTACCATCATGACCCTACACACAAACTGATGGTAGCATTAGGTACCATCATGACCCTACACACAAACTGATGGTAGCATTAGGTACCATCATGACCCTACACATAAACTGATGGTAGCATTAGGTACCATCATGACCCTACACACAAACTGATGGTAGCATTAGGTACCATCATGACCCTACACATAAACTGATGGTAGCATTAGGTACCATCATGACCCTACACATAAACGGATGGTAGCATTAGGTACCATCATGACCTACACACACAAACTGATGGTAGCATTAGGTACTATCATGACCCTACACACAAACTGATGGTAGCATTAGGTACCATCATGACCCTACACACAAACTGATGGTAGCATTAGGTACCATCATGACCCTACACATAAACTGATGGTAGCATTAGGTACCATCATGACCTACACACAAACTGATGGTAGCATTAGGTACCATCATGACCCTACACACAAACTGATGGTAGCATTAGGTACCATCATGACCCTACACATAAACGGATGGTAGCATTAGGTACCATCATGACCCTACACACAAACTGATGGTAGCATTAGGTACCATCATGACCCTACACATAAACTGATGGTAGCATTAGGTACCATCATGACCCTACACACAAACTGATGGTAGCATTAGGTACCATCATGACCCTACACACAAACGGATGGTAGCATTAGGTACCATCATGACCCTACACACAAACTGATGGTAGCATTAGGTACCATCATGACCTACACACAAACTGATGGTAGCATTAGGTACCATCATGACCTACACACAAACTGATGGTAGCATTAGGTACCATCATGACCCTACACATAAACTGATGGTAGCATTAGGTACCATCATGACCCTACACACAAAATGATGGTAGCATTAGGTACCATCATGACCCTACACACAAACTTATGGTAGCATTAGGTACCATCATGACCCTACACATAAACTGATGGTAGCATTAGGTACCATCATGACCCTACACACAAACTGATGGTAGCATTAGGTACCATCATGACCCTACACACAAACTGATGGTAGCATTAGGTACTATCATGACCCTACACACAAACTGATGGTAGCATTAGGTACCATCATGACCCTACACACAAACTGATGGTAGCATTAGGTACCATCATGACCCTACACACAAACTGATGGTAGCATTAGGTACCATCATGACCCTACACATAAACGGATGGTAGCATTAGGTACCATCATGACCTACACACAAACTGATGGTAGCATTAGGTACCATCATGACCCTACACACAAACTGATGGTAGCATTAGGTACCATCATGACCCTACACACAAACTGATGGTAGCATTAGGTACCATCATGACCCTACACATAAACTGATGGTAGCATTAGGTACCATCATGACCCTACACACAAAATGATGGTAGCATTAGGTACCATCATGACCCTACACACAAACTTATGGTAGCATTAGGTACCATCATGACCCTACACATAAACTGATGGTAGCATTAGGTACCATCATGACCCTACACACAAACTGATGGTAGCATTAGGTACCATCATGACCCTACACACAAACTGATGGTAGCATTAGGTACTATCATGACCCTACACACAAACTGATGGTAGCATTAGGTACCATCATGACCCTACACACAAACTGATGGTAGCATTAGGTACCATCATGACCCTACACACAAACTGATGGTAGCATTAGGTACCATCATGACCCTACACATAAACGGATGGTAGCATTAGGTACCATCATGACCTACACACAAACTGATGGTAGCATTAGGTACCATCATGACCCTACACACAAACTGATGGTAGCATTAGGTACTATCATGACCCTACACACAAACTTATGGTAGCATTAGGTACCATCATGACCCTACACACAAAATGATGGTAGCATTAGGTACCATCATGACCCTACACACAAACTTATGGTAGCATTAGGTACCATCATGACCCTACACATAAACTGATGGTAGCATTAGGTACCATCATGACCCTACACACAAACTGATGGTAGCATTAGGTACCATCATGACCCTACACACAAACTGATGGTAGCATTAGGTACCATCATGACCCTACACATAAACTGATGGTAGCATTAGGTACCATTATGACCCTACACACAAACGGATGGTAGCATTAGGTACCATCATGACCTACACACAAACTGATGGTAGCATTAGGTACCATCATGACCCTACACACAAACTGATGGTAGCATTAGGTACCATCATGACCCTACACACAAACGGATGGTAGCATTAGGTACCATCATGACCTACACACAAACGGATGGTAGCATTAGGTACCATCATGACCTACACACAAACTGATGGTAGCATTAGGTACCATCATGACCTACACACAAACTGATGGTAGCATTAGGTACCATCATGACCCTACACACAAACTGATGGTAGCATTAGGTACCATCATGACCCTACACACAAACTGATGGTAGCATTAGGTACCATCATGACCCTACACATAAACTGATGGTAGCATTAGGTACCATCATGACCTACACACGGGCGGCACGGTGGCTGAGTGGATAGCACTCTCGCCTCTCAGCAAGAAGGTCCTGGGTTCGAATCCCGGTTGGACTAGGGCCTTTCTGAGTGGAGTTTGCATGTTCTCCCCGTGTCTGCGTAGGTTTCCTCCGGGTGCTCCGGTTTCCCCTACCACTAAAAATATGTACAATAGGTCTGGCATGTGCCTCCTGTACTGGCACCCCCACTCCCAAAAATCACAATTGTAAACCGCTTTGAGACTCCGATGTGCAGTGAAAAGGCGGTATATAAAATAAAAGATGAAGATGAAGATGACACACAAACTGATGGTAGCATTAGGTACCATCATGACCCTACACACAAACTGATGGTAGAATTAGGTACCATCATGACCCTACACACAAACTGATGGTAGCATTAGGTACCATCATGACCCTACACACAAACGGATGGTAGCATTAGGTACCATCATGACCCTACACACAAACTGATGGTAGCATTAGGTACCATCATGACCCTACACACAAACTGATGGTAGCATTAGGTACCATCATGACCCTACACACAAACTGATGGTAGCATTAGGTACCATCATGACCCTACACACAAACTGATGGTAGCATTAGGTACCATCATGACCCTACACATAAACTGATGGTAGCATTAGGTACCATCATGACCCTACACATAAACGGATGGTAGCATTAGGTACCATCATGACCTACACACAAACTGATGGTAGCATTAGGTACCATCATGACCCTACACACAAACTGATGGTAGCATTAGGTACCATCATGACCCTACACATAAACTGATGGTAGCATTAGGTACCATCATGACGCTACACATAAACTGATGGTAGCAGTGACGCAGGGCAGCAGGAAAGGAGCGCACTCCTACACAGCAAACATCTGACTGGACGACTGTGTCTGGGATCTTCAGCAGGGCGGAGGGTGGCAAACAAGCACAGATAAGCTTTTTTGCTTCTACCGTCTCCTTTTGAGCTTCCCCTTAATCCATTTCTGGGTCAGGGGGGTGACAGTCAGAGCTGCACCCAGTACACTTAGCACCAGCCCCTCACTGATCCTCCTGCAGGTGGTGAGTCCACAGGAGCTGAGATCTTTCAGTGGGGGCTTCAGGCAAAGTGGGATTAAGTGTCTTGCCCAAGAACACAACGACAGCAGTCATCAAGTGGGAGTTGTGAAGTAGGTCAATGGGCTCGAACCCTGAGACTATCCCAGGTTGCTTTTTTTTTTTACTTTTTTGTCATTCTTAGATATTGGTCCTATATGCTTACATATGAGTTCCTAATAAAGTCTAAATAAAATAAATAAATAACCCAAACACATTTTTAACTTTTTCCTGGTTATGCAAATGCTCAAATACTACACTTTACAATACTTCTCTAATAGAGGTTTGTGAATCGAAATATGTAATAGTTTTTATGTGTCTTGTTTGGTGCAAAAAGGAGTAAAATGAATCCTTTGGGTCAGAATTTCAGCACGGAACCTGAAAATAGACAATTTAAGAATTCTACTAAATCTAATATTATTCATAATTCCCAATGTCAGGTGTTACCGTGGAAATGTGCCCGGGTTCAATGCCATTCAAATCGGCGTATTTGTCTCCAGCCCCAAGTCACAAAAGTTGCAGTCACCAAGGACTTTACAAAGTTGTCGATTCACCAACAACAGATGAGAGAATCAAACCGTTGGAAACACAGGAAATGCATTGTGAACGTCCATATAAGGAGCAGGATGTCCAGAATGTCCCGGATCTTCCCCTCTGCGTTGGGACTGAGGCTGAAAACGGTGATTGTGTAAAACAGCTGTTCCAAAATGCCAGAGCGTCACGATCCGAAAATCTTTCAAAGTCTCACACAAATAATCAACTCTTTATTTTGATGTGTATGTAAAAATTTGATTTCCTCCGGCTACAATTTTATCGGCAGCAAAGTTGAAAGCGTTTGCTCAAGAGGGTGAAACTCCAATTTGTACGGCGCTAAAATAGATCTGGCTTTTCAAAAAAACTGCAATTAATAATTCTGTCAAATACTTTTCAAACAGCACTTGTCTGTTTTGGCAAATGAGCTTTTCCTTTGTACATTTCATAAGACTCACATGAGAGTAAGTATGGCTGCAGTGGCTGAGTGGTTAGCACTTTCACTCCATGGGTTCGAGTCTCCCTTCCTCCAGAGAGGGCTTTTCTAAGTGGAGTTTGCATGTCTGTGTAGGTTTCCTCCGGGTGCTCCAGTTTCCCCGCAACAACTAAAAATCCTGAAATAGAGATTCTGAAATTGAATTATTTGATATTTATTTTTCAATTACTGTAAAGATTAACACGAGGACTTCCCAGAATTATGAAACAAGTGCAACTCTCCCTGAGCCGTCATTTTGACTGCTTCCATTCTTCTTCTTCTTTGTTGTTGCCATAACTCACTTTTACTATGAGCTCAAAGACGCTGCACATGTCATTTTTCATTCACTCCAGACACAGCTGTGATAAACTACTACTGTAGCCACATCTGCCCTGAGGCACACTGACAGAAGCAAGGCAACCAGTATGTACCGTCGGCCCCTCCCACCGCCACCACCAACCATTCTCACACACACCAGACTCATTCTCATGTGGGTGTGAGTGTCTTGCCTAAGGACACAGCGACAGTTTGGAACTTTACAGCCGCAGCCGCACCCCTGTGGCACCTGGTGTTCCCAGAGGTCTCCCATCTCAGCACTGACCAGACTCTGCCCTGCATAGCTTCAGAGGTCTGATGGGATCCGGCTTTTGAATTCAAGTTTGGCCACAAATAATATGTAATTCAAAAAGAAAAGTACGTTTGCAATCTTGATATAAATTGTTTAGAAATATATATATATGACTTATATGTATATATTTAGGTTATTTTTAGAGAGCGATTTTTCACATTGACGATCAGGGCCTGCTGTGTCCTCTGTTTTTGTCCATAATATATTTTTTCCAGAAGAGTCCAAGCTGGTGCTACGTGCATAAGCGACTGCTCTGTAATCCTGTGTGCGTGGGACCGTCCCGTGTGGAGCAGGGAGCAGGGAGCAGGGGGGAGGGCTCCGGGAGGGGAGGAGCCTGCAGTTCCAGTGTGAGAGCAGCAGCTGGACACATCCACAGCGGCTCCACACTCTCTCCGCTCTCTCTGCTCTCTCTGCGGGGCCCGTGGGGGGAAGCCAGGTCCATGGGATGCACTATCTACGCAGCCAGCCATAAGGGCCAGGGCCTGCCCGCCGAGGAGGCCCCCGACTCCTGCTACCTGCCCCACTACGGACACCTCCATGGGAACTGCAGCCAGAGGATAGCAGCCCACAGAGCCAGGTACGTCTGCTGCAGCTGCATCCTTCAGGCTCGGCGGCTGTTGTGCTCTGACAGACTCCGTGATAAGATAAGATAAGATTGACTTAATTGATCTCACACTGGAGAAATTTAGAGGCAAAAAGTTGAAAATATAGTCTGTGCAGGATATATTATGTACAATAAAAAATGGCAATTGAGAAAGAGTGGCAATAGCAGTGCTGGTTTTTCAGTCTCATGCATCAGTGACTTAAAGTGAATGGTTAAAGCTGGGGTACCTGACTTTATTTACTCTTGACAGTCACTTTTGGGGAAATATGGTTGTATGGGCACTATCACTATCACATCACTGTTTGACATTACCTGTTTCATTATAAAGATTTTATTGGTCCGGAAGTGAGGAAATGTCAGTGTTGCATGACCTGTCACAGAACAGTAGGAATGACTATTAATGTGTTATTACTGTTATAATCATGTTGTTTTCTGCATATGTTATACCTTTTACTGCTCTAGTAAATGGCCCTCAGTATTTGACTATTTGGGCGGAGGGTGGCAAATAAGCACAGATAAGCTTTTTTGCTTCTGCCGTCTTCTTTTGAGCTTTTTTTTTATATACTAATTGTACCTGAGCAAAATGTGGAAAACTGCTGAAATGATCTACTGTGTGTCTACTTCTGTCTGAAAAAGCCAAACAAAGGATGTGGCAAAGGACAAAAAAACATGGTAGTGAAAAGTAGCGATTCACTTTTTTAGAGCCAGGAACTAGAGACATGGAATTTAGTTTGATTTGGAAGTTAAGTACCCCAGCTTTAACCTCACCCCACATCTGAAACGTCTTCACTGTGGACTTTGTGCTCCTTACAATTCTAACGTTTTCAATCCAGCTTCTAAGACTCAGTGCTCTATTGATGCTCAGATTGTTGAATGTTTTATTTCATTTTTAAACATAAATTAAAAAACTACTTGTTGTGGTGCCACCAGGTTTTATAAGAGATCTGATATAGTCCAGGTTCAATCAAAAACTGAACGAAAGTGACCCGTTTATGCAATGTGCAGTATCAGTATTTGCTCAAATACAGTGGCTGCCAAAAGAGCTGAACTACAGCTTGAACGACCATAAACACGGAGCTTATTTAGTATATATATTTACAAAGAGCAATAATTAATCAATTATTAAAGGTATGTAGGAGGATTTTCAACTTCTGGGTGGATCATCAAGACTATTGGTCCTCCCAATTGTCAATCATTCTGGTGACCAGAGAGTTTTGTTTACAAAGTGGAGAGGGCAGTTCTTTCCTAAAATTTGGAAAAATCCTCTTATATACCTTTAAGTGATAGCATACAAGTAAACCTGGATCTACAGCCTGTTCATGGGATCCCCCTTTCAATGTGGTCCTCCCTGTGGTTCTCCCTGTGGTCCTCCTTGTGGTTCTCCCTGTGGTCCTCCCTGTGGCCCTCCCTGTGGCCCTGCCTGTGGTCCTCTCTGTGGTCCTCCTTGTGGTCCTTCCTGTGGTTCTCCCTGTGGTCCTCTCTGTGGTCCTCTCTGTGGTCCTCTCTGTGGTCCTCCCTGTGGTCCTTCCTGTGGTTCTCCCTGTGGTCCTCTCTGTGGTCCTCTCCTGTGGTCCTCCCTGTGGTCCTCCTTGTGGTCCTTCCTGTGGTTCTCCCTGTGGTCCTCCCTGTGGCCCTGCCTGTGGTTCTCCCTGTGGTCCTCCCTGTGGTTCTCCCTGTGGTCCTCCCTGTGGCCCTGCCTGTGGTTCTCCCTGTGGTCCTCCCTGTGGTCCTCCCTGTGGTCCTCCTTGTGGAGGACAATGTTGATCCAGGACATTTAGGGACATTTATGGATTTGGTTTATATTTTATGTATATTTTGATATAATCTTATGAGCTATGATGATTAGGGGTGTGACGATATATCAATACATTGCGATACTTTCTCCCGCGATTCGATTATTGATATGCATTTGCAAAGTATCAATATCGATTTTGAAAAAAAAAAACTAACACTAACCCTTTTTTAAAATTTATTTTCAACAAATAAAAAAAAAAAAATTGTATCAATACTTATTATATGGCTACATTATGCATCTCCATTCCATTTATCATGAAAGAAAGTGTATTTTTTTATTTTATTTATGCCATAAATTGGCATATTGTATATTTCTGACCAATATATCGATAATCGTCATATCGTGATAAAATCGTTATTGTGATATCGTTATTGTGAGCTTTGTATCGTGTATCGTATCGTATCGTTAGGTACCCTTAGGTTCCCACCCCTAATGATGATTGACCAATCAAATGCTTTCATTCTCTGGGGAATTTCCAGCTTGCCTTAGCAACCCTCTTAGCAACACGTCTGCCCCTGTTATTGCGCACAGCTAACCCAGTCAAAACAATTGCCCATATAGGGAAATCGGCTCCAGTTAGCTTGTTTTTGTCTTTTTTCCCGCAGCACTGGGTCAGTCCTAGCCTGGTCGTACCACACCATTAGTACAAATTACAAGTGCAAACCAGCCCCGTGAACAGGTGGGAGGGGTTAACTCCTTTTGCAGATTGGATCTGAGTTTACTGTCACGTGTGTAATGCGCCCGAGTGAGTCGTTGGCATTTAGCATAGCCATCTCCTTTGCCGCTAATGGAGCCCGTGGGGAATAGCGCCACAATCTTTGCCAGCAATTACATTTGCTATCACATTCTTCACCATTGCCAAACAACAAACTGCCCGTTCGGCGCAAACTCTTGACGTCACCCACATCTAACTACAACACCCGCCTTCCGCGCTTGTTGATTGGTCGGCGGTTGGAATTCAACCGATGTAATTGCAAACACGGAGACCAGACCCAGACGTTACATGCAGGGAAATAATGATTGACCAGAGTTTACGGATGGATAAGGCCAGGCCAGGCCAGGTCACTCCTCACGCTATTTATTGAGGCACATTTGCCTCCATCCATTTTCTGGATGATTTATTGTATTTTGGAATATGTTGGTTAAAGGATATGGTTTGTTGATTAGACCCTTGCAGAACTGAATAGAGATTGTGAGAGTGAGATTCTTGCACCTTAAGATGTCGTGGTGCAAGGTGTCGCTTCAACATCATGCACCTTGTTGGGAAAGCAATAGGCCCAAACCAAGCCCTGGTGATCCAAGATGGCGTCCCATTCAAATCAATGGCTTGGCTTGTGCTCAGTAGCGCATGTGTCTCCATGGGCACTGAAAGATCAGCGAAGATTAGCATTTCTCTGGTCCTCCCGGTTCTGCGTAGTGGATGAGCTCCCATGATGCTTTGCACCAGATACGCGTGAAGGAATATGCGGGAGACAATCGTGCAGAGTTTGTGGCACTAAAGTGTAGATTAATAGAAACCGGAAAAATTTAAGAAGAAAAAAAGTTCAGAACATGGGATACTAAAATCCCCACCAAATCCGACCTTTGTGAGAGGGAGCTGAAGGTTCTCTGTCAGCTGAGGTGGACCTGTTTTAGTTTACAATGAGTTCTATGGGACATTTTTCATAGGTCCTTCAGAGCTAAGCTAGTAATACCCTATCCAGTTATTATAATAGATCCATGGCCAAATGTAAAGCAAAGAGTGTGTTTCTATGGTAACTCGCACTTTCTTTTCTCTGGTGAACAACCAAGCTTGAACCAGTCCAAGATCAGTAGAGCGCAAGTCCAGAACCTGTCCAGGACCAATCCCTTGAAAATGGGGCAGTTATAAAATGTGGTTACATATGAATTAATGGTTCACTACTCACAGTTAAAATTAAAAGATAATTTCTAGAAAATAATGACATATACACAAAATATAGATGTACATAGTTAAGAAGACCAAAAGTAAATACACAACCATGAGTAATTCAACTTCCAAAACTAACAGCCGTCTTCGAGTGGTGAGTGTTATATCAGAGTCGTGGATGCTCAGGGGAGTGCACACGGTCCTCCCTGAGCTCCACCGCGTGTCCGTGAGTCAGCGGAGTGAGCCCGAGTGAGCCAGAGAGAGCCTGAGCGAGCCTGAGTGAGCCCGAGTGAGCCCGAGTGAACCCGGGAGAGCCCGTGAGCCCGCGTGAGGAGGGAGAGGAGGGAGAGGAGGGAGCGAGGCTCAGGCTAATCCTCCTCCTCCAGCAGCAGCACCAGCAGCTCCCACACTCCAGCTCTCCCGCACCGCCAAACACGCTCCAAACACGGACAACATGGCGCCTGCCCCCGTGAACACTGCCGTGTGTGTCTGGAGCAGAGAGTCCGAGCTGTGAGCGGTGACAGCCCGGGGAAGACGCACTAAAGCTGGGCTAAAGAAGCCACAGCCCGCGCTTATGAGATTCAGGTAAGAGCAGCTTCGAGCTGAGCATGCGCAGTGGGCCTCATCAGGAGGAGATGTCTCATGACATGATCATGGACATGATGTATGTGCAGCAGCAGGACAGAGGAAGATGTTATTATGAGCTGGTTATCTATCATGACTACTACACACGGACTGCTATGTACTGTACTGTACTGGACCGTACTGTAATACATATGTACAGTACTGTACTTTACATGTACTGTACTGTAATATACATGTAAGTACATGTATAGTACTGTACTATACATAGTACTGTACTATGCATGTACAGTACTGTACTATATATGTAAAGTACTGTAATATACATGTACTGTAGTATACATGTACTGACTGTAATACACTTGTACTGTACTATATACTGTACTGTACTGTAATTTACATGTAATGTATTATACTATACATGTACTGTACTGCAATATACATGTACTGCACTATAATACACATGTGATGTAGTGTTGTGTGCTGTAGTGTAGTCTACTGTACTGTTGTGTACTGTACAGTACTGTACTAGATAGATAGATTTTCAGGTGTCCAGTAGCAGCAACAACAAAAAGATAATTCTAAAAAGCTAATAATAGTAATAACCAGTTCTGTAATAATACTGTAGCCTTAAAATAACCTTTTGTTATTTTTGTCTTTGGCTGTTGTCATTTCAGAAGTTTACTTCATTTTAGTTCAACATGAAAT